CCTGACATATTCTGTTGAGCCTGAAATAGCTGAATAGTTATGTCTACCTGTTTCTTTAAAGGGGCACTGTAGTGTGTGAGGACTGAGTATACATTGTGACTCATTACTGTTAAGGTTAAATGACAGTAATTTTCATTGTTACTTTTTTCTTGCTTCCTGGTCCATATTTTAATGATTTCTTATAAAATGTGAAGATAGCCCTCCAGTGATATCAGTATATCACTCAATGAAATCAGTACCTTGCTGAATGACTGCTGAGATGAGATCTAAATACACCTGGACATGCTCAATTATTGTACAACATTATTAAGCAGGAATTATACCTGCATATGTAATGAGTAAATACGGTTGCCGCTGTTTACACATATGGTTACAACTATTTACAGAAGTGACTGTTAGCATATAGCATTTAGCATTTTACATACATACTATAATTATTTACATTTAAATTGCTCTTTTCGATATTCAGTCTACAGTTGCACTTCGGTGTGCTTGATGCATAATGGGTATTGGGTATTTTTAGAGATACATAATTTCTACTGTGACCACAGCTACAGTCATTCTATTGCTGTTACTTGGGATAAATGCATTTGAATGCTGCACACTGTGCTCAGGTGCTGATTATTGCACTTAGCGGTAATAGTGTGGTACTGCAGTGGCATTCACAGTAGAGATAAATTATCTATAAAGTGAGCACAGTAAAGAGTGTCAAATGTGCTAAAATATAAACACAGACTAACACAAAACCCCAATCACCAGCTATGCATACTGTCAGCTAGTCCAAATGTGCAGAGATTTATTTAAAAGAAGGTTTGAAGTGAACTTTTATGTTCCCCACTGCAACCAAGTGCAGAATGGCAGAATGAAAGGAAAAATCTGATTGGCTGATGTGCTTGCCAAGGACAGCTTTTCTTCCAGATACTTTGATACATAAGGCCCATTGCTGTAGACGCATTCAAGTGGAGGTCTTGTAAATTTGTTTTTTCCCCAAGCCAGAGCCAGAAGAATGACACTGTGACTCTGGTTGGGTGTAGTTGGCAACACTTTCAGTTTTATTCTCTGCACCTTTAATCAATTATTTGTTAAATCACATCAGCAAATTTTATTTGGAATAGCAGTTCCAGGAATCCCATACAGTGTAAAATAAGTGGTGTACTGTGGCCCAAATTCCTTGGGACCCTGTTGCTGCTTGCAGCACGTGTGTAATCTGGATAATTTTGGGATTACACAGTAAAGCAGTGTGAAGTGCAATAAAAAAAACTGAATACCGAAGTAATCCACAGAAACCAATCAGATTTCAGTTTACTTTTCACACAGTGAGTTTTCTTTGCATTGCTTTATAAAAAAAAAAGTGCAATTGCCTAAAATTAATTGAAAAATATTTAAACTGTATCAATTTCTAAATGTAGAAGCCTCTGCAGTGTCGAAAGATTTCTCCAAAGGAAAGCCCGCTCAAATTTTTAGAAAAAAAGGAATTGCCAATTATTCTTCTCTATTCCCAATATAACCCCAATGCACCCATGCCCCCTGATTGAGAGGATGAATAGATCCCCGGGCTGGCATGTAACAGTCCAATGACTCTGCTTGGCAGGCACAGAAGATGCTGGACAGGGCTGTGTAGGTGTGGACTGGTTTAGAAAGGAAAATCATTAACTCATGCCAAGCCAGATTTGTGCTGGTATTAGATAGATTCACACACTACAGTGCCTTTTTAATATCTGCAAAGAACATAGTACAGTCACTCATAGCAACAAAGCAGAGTTCAGCTTTGAGAAGCTCATAGAAGACTTATTTTTGTTCTTACTTTAAACAGCTTCTTTTTTTACCATGTTATGTGGGTTTTTATATATTATTTTTATATAAGCTACAGATTAATAAATTAACCAGATTTATCTTTTGAGTACAATTGTTTCAATTGTGTACATTTGTGTTTAATGTTTGTGTTATTTATACAAGAATCGGCTATATCTTAATGGGGTTTATTCACTTAGACAATGCATAATAATGATATGCTGTAGCAACCAATTAGATTTCAGTGTTCATCAGTTAACTGCAGTCAGATCACTAAAAGAGGATTTCTGATTGGTTGCTATAGTTAAGCGTAGCAATATATATTGGCAGATCTAACACTGACAATGACAAGCATTTAGAGATATGCCTATCTTTGCTGGGAATTGTATGCCATCAGTTTTGCATCCTGCTTTGCTCTAGTCAGCAATGGGTGGACAGAATGCTGCACCCTTGTCTCCATAAAAAGGGAGCAATATGCAATTGCAATGTAATTTTTTTTTAGCATGTCTGAAAAATACCTTCTCTCTTGGAAATACCTGTTATGACTCTTAACCTCTGCAAGGCCTGATTGGTGCAAGTGAAGCTTGCTTCTCTTATTTAGCTTGATTGTATCAGGCCAGATCTCAATGCCCTTACTGTACACACTCCGAGTTTGTGTACATTCCTCAGTTTACCAAATGCAAGCGGTAGCTACAGCTCTTATTAGTATGGAAAACTCATGAAAGAAGCATGCAATGTGTATGGTAATTTGAGGTTGAATTGCAGCCTGCAAGTCATTCTGTTCCGCAAGAATTTTCCATCAGTAATCTTTGTATCAAGCACAGACACGCTTCTAATTTGGTCGCTGGACACTTCCTGCTGCCTTCTGTGTGTTAAAGAACTCGCAATCCTGGTAATGCTACAGTAAACTGATCAAATCTGAAGGTGTAAATTAATGTAACGTAACTAATAATTATCTCATCGACAATAAAGTGTGATATAAATCTTGGTGAAGAGGAGGATTGCCTTGGGCATTGGCAGACTGTGCAGTGACATCACTGCTTAGGATCTGGGAAAGTTATCCCTTTGTAGCGGTTTCCGTGTTGGGGGACCGGTGAGCTATTCCTGCTAGAAGGGACCAGTTCCTTGTAGAGTGTTCATTTTAACCCCTGAATAACAGCAGGTATGCGAATCACTTAGAAATAACAGTTATCCAGCTCTGGAAAAACAATAGTCAGGAAGGGGTGGATCACAATATGGGATCCCCCTCCGCTCAGTGACTGGGTGACAATGTCGTATGGTCCAGGGGGCTGGCTGTGTTTTAGGGGTACACACCCATGGCTATAGCAGTGTGTAGGGGGGTAGAGGGGAGGAACGCTTGGCAGGGTGGGGCCACTAGAGACTTGTTCTGTGCCTCTGACAATGAGGAGGATTCTACAGGCACACATGCATCTCAGATTAATTCTGCTTAGCTTTAGAAGGGGTGTTCAATCTCTCCCCTCCCTCCCTTCTTTTCTATCCAACTCCCAGGGCTGCCAAACCTAACAATCCTCCTCCTCCTTCTCCGAAACCAGCAGAGAAGAAGCTTGGGAGTCTTATTGAATGTCCATTTCCATTAACTCAGCCTAGGCAATAGCTAATCCACTGCACTGCAGGCAAGGAGGCTAATTAATGACAAGCTTTTACAGTCAAGACTGGCGATAATTGCTTCGGTTTCCTTTATGGTGCCAAGATAAAAATGGACCGGGTCTCACATAAGAGGCACTGTGTACACTGCAAGACAGGAGGACATTAAGAGGCTGGCCGCCTGAATACGGAGCAGAAAATTACTAATAGACAAGAGATAATGAATAGACCAGGCAGGCATTCATGGGGAAAAATCCATTTTGTTAGCACGCAAAATGAGGTGCTGGAAAAGAGTTTGCTAATTGTCCTCATCTTGTAGCAGGCAGGGCTGCTCCCCAATTCATTTCTCTGCTAATTGTGAGTGGGGAAGGGTGCCCACAGCGCCCTGCAGCAATCTGCCTGCCCAGGCTTTTCACTTTTTTTTCCTGTTGGGTTTTTAATTGTTGCTAATACACCTTTATAATGAAGCTAATGAGGGGGAATTATTGGACAACTTTACGCATGGATGCAAGGAGAGAGCAGCACAGGAATTGTGTGCTGATGCTGCTGGCTATTGCACTCTCATCACTGGATTGGTACTTCCTCTCACTGCCTCCTCTCACCAGGTACAAGTATGCTTCCCAAAACCTGGATTTCAAAATGTGTGTCTAGTCAGTACATGTTTCCTTGTGTCGCTTCTATTTACACTGTATAATTACTTTTAGTTGAAGTTACAGTGTATATTTGCTGTATCTATAGATTGTTTTTTCAAAATCTGGCACTTTAAAATTCCGGACACCATGGAAGCAGTTTATTTGTAATTCTCTATTCACACTGCAACCTATCTACATTGTATGTTCAAGTTTTCTTGGAACTATATTAATAACTATATTTTCTGCATTTTATGTAGACTAAGTTTGTTAGGGTTTAGAATCTCTATTACTCAATATCTGGCACTTCAAATGACTGAACCTTCATTTAATTGCATTTAGGTTGGGCAGTGCATTTTTGTAGCAGTTCTTATTTACTTATTATTTCAGCACTGTGCATTTATTATTTTATGATTTCTTGTGATTTGGCACTTTGAAATGCTTTACATGTCACTAGCAGTTTTCGTGCATATACCACTTTATGTTGTATCATAACATTTAACATTATATATAATATTATAATTTTAGAGCTATGGGTTAACTTTTTCTTACAGCCTGATCTTTTGAGGCTCCCGACAACCCTGGACCATATTCACATTTATTACCTTATTACTACCTATTTATTTCTTTAACCTCCTTCACATTACGCTATAAACTGAAATTATTCATAGTTTCTATGTTTTGCATCTGTATATTTTTTTCAGGGATGACAATCTAGAACTTTAAAATGACAGATGATGGCTAGTTAATAGTAAGATTTCCATAATTGATAGGAAATTGTAACTATTTAATTTCTTATAAATAGAATTTTATTTTAAAATAGCAGTTAGATTTTCCCTAGCCTTTACATTTTACCTTTAATTGTTATAGGGCCATGAATTTTCTATCTGTTTTTTCTTTTACCTGAGTATAGTGCTTGATGTGTTAACTCATAATAGATTTGGGAGGACTTATTTCCTCTTTCATTCTCCACAGAAAAGTAAATTGAAGCTATTGCCTCATCGCTTGGAGGAAGAAGATTCTACTAAATTTATTATCCTCACTCTCATCTCCATTGCCTCTATTATTGGGATCCTCTCTGGGTCCGGGGTCATCTACTGCCTGCGCCACCGGTCCCATCACAAACTCAAGGAGAAGCTCTCAGCCTTGGGAGGTGACAGCAGTACAGATGCCACCAACACGTACCAGGTAAGGATTATTTGCTATATACTTTTCTGATTAACTGATTCCCTGTGAAAACTCACTAAGACTACAGGTTTAAACTGCTTTTCGGCAAATAAATAAAGTTAGAATACTTTATTTAATACTGTTGCTAGGATACAGCATGTTGTTACTTTTCAAAGACAGAACACACCATACCATGTAAAGCTCTCAAGAAGTCCTGTAAACCATTTATTTTGGTTTGCAGTCTGTCCAGCAAAGTACAATGTAATGAGCAATAACCCTTTTGAGAAAATTGATAACTGTACTGTGTTTTGTGATGTTATATAATGCACCTTGTAAGAGGTCATGTATAATCTATGTAAGGGGCACTAATACACATTTATCATACATGCCTCATTTATAGTTTAACTGCTGCTGTGATGTACAGTGTAGAGTGTTTGCTGAATAGCAGAAATGTAGACAAAGTTTTCTCTTTGTCCACTAAACAAATATTTCATATACAGTATACATATATACAGAATAAGCATGCTCACTATACAGTACACTGGCCCAGTGACCCAACCAGGTTCAAGAGTTGATTCTCCTGGTTTTTTTCCTTTTTATATGTATTATTTCTTAAAATTACGATATTTGCCTTTAAAAGACCTCACTTGTCCATTGTAAAACTGCACTCCTACCAGTCTTAGTCTTTAGTTCTTCCAGCGTATAGTTAAGATTTTGGGGATAATTTGTGTCAGCTTATTGCATTATTAGCCCTAAATGTATTTATTCGTGCTGGCCATAATTCGTCTAGCTTACTGAATGGAATCAATTTACTGTCGCTCCTGGAGTAAACCACCTCAAAATGCCTGGCCTGCCTATGTATATGTGTCATATGCATCATATATATATATATAGGGCACACTTCACCCTTCACATATATATATTGCATTGGCCTTGCGTATATATTTTGGTGCATGTTAAAATTAAGCACACTCATTTTTTTTGTTCTTATAATTTATTTATCTTAAATGATCTCAACTGCTCATTTAGAGCACATCACAAATTAACTAAGATTGTCACTAAAATGTTGTATTTTGATGTAACTTAGATTTAACAAAGAGCCAAAAGTTGAAATGCCTTTTCATGAAAATTATCAGGGCACAAAACCTTCTTTTGACAGCTCCAATTAATAATAAATGTAATTAAAATCAAACCTAGAAAAATGTTTTCTATGTGACCTTTTGACTATACCTCCTGGGGGCATATTGGTTAGGCTGATATTGATTTTATAATGAGTAATGGTTTGTTTAATAATCTGGCATCTACACACTACATAAATTATACTTGAATTATGACACTGGTGACAAAAAAAATCCATCTAACCTGCCTAACTTTGAAAACAATAGTCTTCTTTACTTACATGTTATTTTAAAATCATTCATATTAAAATAAAACTCAATCCATTTTTGCATATACTATGCTGAAAGGTTTAAAAGTATAATGTATAATCAAGCTCACAGTTTTTGACAAACGCACACAGGCCAGCTTATCTAAAAATATGTAATAGGTATACTTTTTTTTCTTCTACAAACACACATGATTTTTTTAAATTAATATTTATCTGACAGGAGCGTGCTGCATTTGAATTAACATTTTTATTATGCCTTGTAATTTGTTTTATATGCCCATATTTTATTCCCCCTATTGTTATGGTGTTTTAGGAAGCTATAAACAAGCCTTGGGAGTGTCTTGTAAACAGAAGCTCTAAGCACACATGCTAGTTGTCCCGGCTCCCATTAAAGGTGATTAGGAAAAGTGCCTGTGTGACTTGCCTCAGTGATCAGCACCGCTTAGTGCTGCTACATTGGCCTTGGGTAATGCAGATTTCAACCCATTCTCACCTGACGCGCCACCTCACTAACCTCCCTGCTGCTCTGTCATCAGTTCATTAAGAGCAAACGCTGAGCATGTGTTAAAGAGGCTGCTTGTTAATCTCAGTCTAAAACCCCACCCCATGTGGAAAACCATTTTATTTATTTTTTTATTTGTGCATTGTGCAACGCTGGATAGAATGGACCCATTACTTCACCCTTCACTTTGGAAAATATCAAAGGTTACCTTATTCAAAATGCTAAAATGCCAGAGGGATGGAAGTTTGACTTGATGTTGCACCTGTTAATCCTTTAACCTCTCTGCTTCCAGAATGGCTCATGGTGCCTTGCTAGAGAGCTCCTCTTTGTTCTGCTGACAGATCACCCACAATGCATTGTTACAATCAGCGCTAGATGCCCTGTACCCTCACTATAAATGTAGCACCAGCCCATGTTCCTAATAAGCCTTCCTTGACTACAACTTGCTTTAATATTGATCTTCTCTTAAAATGATATAAAGCTTAAATGTTATATAACCAAAGGCCTGTAGCAATGATGGATTATATCATGCTGCAACATCAAAAGGAAAAGAAATAACCATAGTTATAAAATGTGTTTATGTCGGCAGCCTTTTTATATCTCTTATAGACAAAGACTAGATTCTCTTTCAGATTCCCTTCATAAATGATCTGAACACTCAAACCACAATTATTCTAGAGCATGATGTAATTAAGTATATATATATATATACAGTATATATATATATATATATATATATGTATATATATATATATATATTTGTATGAAACAATTACATATTTAGGATATAAGATTTAAAAAAACATAAAGATCACCAGGCCATGATAAAATAAGAATATAAAATTCTTAAAAATGTAGTAATATAAAATGTAATGACATTTAATGATTTTGTTTTACTGTGAACAAAAACCTTTAACTGCATAGTAGAATTCAATACAATTCTTATTGGAATAGTTAGATGTTTTCTGCCTACATATTAATTCCCTTAAATTTGCATTGCAATAACCTGTAGCACAGACGGTCCATTTGATTAAATTGATGGCCAGCATATGGTGTAGTGGCCTTTGTTAACGGAAGGGCCAACAGTCAGTAACCCCCAGACCAGCGTGCCAATCAACATATGCTGCTTTGTCTATTGTCAAAATTTGTAATATATGCTAAATAATATTCATTATTTGCAAGACATTACAAGGAATAACAGGTCATTGCATTAGTTTAACCAAAAAAAATTATATGTTTCCCAGCACAATTTAATGCCCTAGAAATACTTGATAATGGTGTATTAGTTGCTATAAGGAAGTCTATATATTTGGAGCTAGAAGTTGTTTACATGGTGGGTGTAGAACAGGTGTTTTGCATAATGTGATCCTTGAAAGATTCCCTACAGCCTGGATTCAGCTGTCACATTTATGAATGAAACCACAGAATTCATTTTCAGGCTCAATTTGCTTTTTTATATATTAAGACCAAATGGGTGTAAGCCTTAACTAAGGGCTATACAGCCCTCTTTTGTGATGGTTACACAAAAGGCTGGTCATCCCAGCCACACATCTTATCCGTTTTTCATAATATGGCTGTCAAACATCATATTATACATGTAATATATTACAGGATGTCCTCTCTTGTACATTTAGTAAATTAAACCACTATGAGTATATTTATTATTTGATAACAGCATTTAGCTGATAGATGGTCCTGATGCAGAACAAGAAAGAAAAAAAAGAGCTGTTTTATGGAAAAGTTAGGTCTCTAAAAAGCACTCTCATTATCCTACAAATGTCAGGAGACGAGAAACGGAGCAAAGAAAATTCTTTTATGTGTATGAAGCTGTCTCCCTCCTGTTCCCCTCTCTCTCTCTCTTTGTTTAATGTCTTTGATGTTCACATCATTGCAGAAAATTGTTATCACATTTTAGCTTACCAATGAGCCCTTCAGAATGCAAAAAAAATTAAGTCACCCCAAATAGCATATTAAAGTCACATTCTAAAGTCTAACATGAAATTAATTTATTCTGCAGATATGTTTCATGTTTTCTCTCCAAACATCCTAATAGTTCTAATTCTATAATATCATCTTGTAACATTTGTAGGTTTTCAGGATATTTTTACATTGAATGGTAACACGACATGGTGCAGTTGGCATTAATGTGATATAGACCAAATGGCGCTTCTTCTCTTTTTTAGTTGTGACTTCTAAGTAGAAATGTGTGTTCTTGAAACAAATCGGTGACATGTGTAGCAAGATCACATTGGCGTAGAGCAGATTAGAGAGTTTTACTTTTTACATTCCGTTGAGTAATCAGTAGATGAAAATTTAATTTTAAGACCTCTGAAATCTCTGATGCTAAAGCAGAAAGCTATGCAGAGTCTGTGACACTTAAAACAGTAGCTAGACTCTGCAGGTAATTATTCAAAATGGCTGTGTCTGCAATGAATGTAGTATTTCGTTGGCAATATTTCAAGTACCATTAGACATAACCAAACACTATTTTTTTTAATGTCAGACTAATTTTAAGAAGCTAAAAATAATCTCTTGTTCCAGAACCTTAAAAAATACACTCAGTGCAAAACTGATATTTCATGTTTAGGAAGCTGCTGGTAGATTGGTAGAGTCACATATTAGCATCTTACATCACCCAGAGGATATGTTTCTGAGATCGCTGATGAGTTCCCTAGTTGCCCACCTACTAATGCCACTGCAAGAGATTTTTCTTTTCTTGGTATTTTCTTACATTTCTACATTGTGAAATATTCAGATTGCAGTGTGAAATGTTAAGAATGATACTCCACAAAGATATGGGGCAGTGACAGGAAGTCTGAAAAATATGGGGCCCTTGACCATAAGTACACATGCTTTAGTGACCTTAGATAGTTGGAAAAATTGGAATCTCAGTTGCATCATGAGGTCAGTACTCCTAACCAATCTATGAGACCAAATATTGATTCCTTCTCTGATTGTCTGCATTTTGTATTTTTATTGTAGAACATATTGGTAAACTTCTGTAAAAGAGCTTTAAGTCACTTATGAGCTAGTCGGATTAATCCTAAAATCAGCAGACATTTTAAGGCAGCTAGGGAAAAAATGCTTTGGTTACCAGTGCTTGAAAAGGACCATATAAAATTTGATTTTAAC